GGGGGGGGGGGGGGGGGTTGGGATGTGTCTGTCTTGTCTGCTTATGCATCAGCTATCTATCTTGATCACCACTATAGGACACCGAAAAACATCAGCAGCTGGGCTGCTTTCGCTGCGCCGATACGCACAGTCTCAGTCTGTGTGGGCCGTTCCGTTCAGACACCCATGCAATCAATCAATGCACGAAACAAGAACACTAGGCTGCCTAGACCCCGCCAGTCCGCCCACCGCATGAATTGCCGTGAGCTGCTTGGCTAATTCACACCTGCTTTCATTCAATCACTCAGTACGCAGCCAGGCGGCTGGCGCACACACACACACAGAGAGAGAGGCCTGGATGCGATAGACGAGACCCAACTACTAATTGCACCTCGGCAACCATTACCCACTCACCCACAGCTGAGTATGCAGCTAAAGGAGCTCAATCGCTCCCGCCCTCCCGGGAGTGTGAGCCAGACCACTTTATGGATGCCTGTGTGTGTGTGTGTGTGTAGTATGCCCGATGAACAGGTCAGTCAGTCAGGAAGGCAGTCAGGCTGTCACGACGTGAGGAAGTGGCCCTTTGTTCCGCTATGATGGTCGCCCCACCGCCTCTCCCGCAGGAGCTTGGCCTCCGCTGCGGTCGTGAGGATCTGCATCGCCACGTGGGGGCCGCACGACTGAACCAGACGCAAGAACGAACCTGATCCCAATCCATGGATGGATCCACACACCGACACACAGAGACGAGACGAAGCACACTCGGTGAGGAGGAGACACAAGCGTGCTTCCGTCTGCCTGCATCCTATCCTCTTGCATGCCTGGCCGTTTGTTGAATTCGTGTTCCCTCGGCGCTGTCAGCAGGTCGTAAGGCGCCCCCACCTCCACCACACGACCCGCGTCCATCACAACCACCTGCACACAACACACAACACACACCACACCACACGCCGCGGCCATCAAGGATCCATCGATTCACACCTCTGTCTGCCATTCACTCCAGCCGTGCAAACTCACTCACCTTGTCGTAGTCAGCGATGGTCTGCAGCCGATGTGCGATCGTCAGGAGGGTGCAGTCGCGGAACGCCGCCCTCACTGTGTGCTGCACAAAGTCGTCCGTCGCCCGGTCGACTGATGCGGTGGCCTCGTCCATGACCAGCACCTTCGGGCGACACAGCAGCGCCCTCGCCAGACACAGCAGCTGCCGCTCGCCCAGCGAGAAGTTGCTCCCGCCCTCCTGCACCGGCATGGCCAGCATCGCGGTGTGCGCCCTGACCAATTTGTCGAGCCTAGCGCGGCTGAGTGCCCGCCAGACATCCTCGTCCGAGTGCTGGTCGAAGGGATCGAGGTTCGACCTGACAGTGCCGCTGAAGATGATGGGGTCCTGCGTGATGATGCAGATGCCCCCGTGCCGCCCCCTGACGTCCTCGCGCCTCAACGTGCCGATGTCCACACCGTCGACCAGGATGCCGCTCCCCTCACCGAGCTCACTCCACGGCTCCACGAGCCGGAACAGCGCTACGGCGACAGACGACTTGCCGGCGCCAGTCCGCCCCACCAATGCGACCCTTTCGCCTCCCTCAATGGACAGCCATAGCCCCCGCAGCGCCCTCGGTAGGCCCGGGCGGTAGCGCAGGCACGTGCCGCGGAACTCGATGGCGCCATTGGATGGCCATCCGGTGGGGGCGGTGGTGGTCTTGTCTGTCGGCTGGTTGTAGCATGGCTCCTCGGGCAGCTGGCTGTACTCGTCGATGCGCTCCACCTGCCGTGGAAAATACATGAGGAAGGAGGTGTGTGGGTGGCGGAGTGGGGCGGGGGAATGGGTACCGACCGATGTCATGGCGGCTTCGAATTGTGGTGTGTAGATGCAGAGGTAGTTGGTCGACACACTCAGGTTGAGCACCCACACCAACACAAGACCAACCAGACCTGCACACACATAGAAAGATGTCGACACACATTCGCGCCTCTCCTCCCCTCCTCCCCCACCCCTCCTGCCTGCCTACCCTACCTCCTGTGAGGTCTTCCCGCACGATCCAGATGAGCACAGCCGCCCCCAGCGAGATGATGGCGCCGATGCTCTCCACCCGCACCCCCAGCCACCGATTAGCCGAGTTGAAGCAGAACACCGCCCTCGTGTTGTTGTCCGTGTGCTCGTCGCACCGCACAGCGAACCGCTCGCCGCACCCATAGGCCCGCAGGCACTGCAGGCCGTCGAGGCTCTCGGCCACGTGTGACTGCAGGGGGCTGCGCGAGACCGAATCGAGCCTTTGGAGGTCGCGTATGGACGACCGTGAGTACTGCAGCAGTTGCCAGTAGAAGAAGGCCATGGGGGCCATGACTAGCAGCATCCACGGCCACAGCACCACGAGCAGCACCAGCACACCTGCCGTCAGCTGCAGAGCACAAGACAACACAACACACCACACACAAGGATAGCAGGCAGTGGCAAGCGACCGTCGTGCAGTGAGTGCTGCCCATCCCATGTGAACCTACCCAGAAGAGTGAGGCCACGAAAGGGATCATTTTGGTGACGAGTGTGACGTCGGCGGTCTCGGTGTCGTATGAGAAGCGGTTGACGATGCGGCCGATGGGCGTCGTGTCGAAGAACGACTGGGGGCACCTCAGGCAGCTCTGCAACAGCTTCCGGAACATGTGCCTGCCATGCCGTCAAGGAAGGTGGCACCCGCCCACACACACAGAGAGGCATCACGTAGGCAGACAGACGTGGATTACACACAGAAGAGGCAGGCCCCAACCTCTGCACCCACCTCGACGCGCGGATGGTGAAGAGGGCGAATAGTGACGTTCTGATGAAGACGACGACGGCGTTTGATGCGAATATGGCGCAGTAGATGGCGAGGTAGATGTTGACGTCGCTGGCGATGGGGTCCTCCCTCGTCCAGTGAGCCAACCATATGTCAGAACCAACATAACTCGCCCTGCAAACAGAAAGAACCCAGAAAGCAGTGTCTCAGCATTGGGTCAGGGGCGTGGTTGGTGTGAGGAGCATACCGTTCGAGTATGAGCGCCACAGTGATGGAGATGACCCAGGTGATGCCGCCCGCAGCCGCCAAGTAGCGACTGATCACACCCCATGACACCTCTCCCTGATAAAACACACACCCATACAAAGAGGAATATGGGTCTCTCACCCACACAAGACGCCACGAGGCGCGTCGCTCACCGATTCCCTGCTCTCTTCCTCCATCAGCTGATCGCCCCCCTCCACATCATCTCCCCCGTCAGACACCACCGCTGGCTTCTCGCTCTCCCGCCGTCTGCTCTTCTTCCAGCTGTCGGCCTGGCCCTTCCCCGCCCCAAGTATGCTCCTGCAGACCTCCGTAAAGCTCCGCTGCCCCTTGTAGTGGCCTCTGAGGTACTTGCTGAAGGTGCTGGTGCGTATGAGTGACAGGCTCGGCACGGCCTCCTTCGGCAAGGTGACGGGGAAGGCGATGGGGATAGCTCGGTCCGCCTGCTCGGCTGCACTTGATGCTGCCGTGGCTGCGTTGTCGTCAGATGGCTGCCGGTGGCTTCTTTTCCCTCCGCCCGGAGACTCATCAGGTTCCTGGTGTTTCCCGTCATCTCGCGCCATCTCTCTCGGCTGGTCGATGTGGACCTCCAGCGCGACGGCCGCCTCGCTGGTGCTGCAGGACGCTCCACCTTCAGGCTCGCCCTCATGCTCCCTCTCAGGCTCGGCCCTCCTGGGTGTGGAGATGCCAAACAGTCCGTCTGCCGCCTCGTTGGCCATCTTGACGGCCACACTCTTGACCCACATCTGCTCATCATCCTCAATCCCAGTACCTAGACCGCAGTCGTCTCCCACACCCACACCCACACCGAGCTCGTGGACGTCAGGCAGCTCGTCGATGACGACTCTGGAGGCGGCAATGCTGAGCCCGTCGAGGGCCTCTTCAGTGGGGTAGGGGGAGGTCGGGCTCGTGGCCGCGGTGGACGCGTTGCGAACGGGGGAATAGGACGACGTCTCGATCATCGTGGGTGTGGAGTCATGGTGGTCCTTCTTGGAAGGGATGAGCAGGGGGGTGTGATCGCCTTTGTTGCCAGTGGTGTCATGGGGGTCTGGTGAGGGCTTCTGCTGCTGGAGATGGGGATGGGGATGGGAGGGCCGCTGGAGGTCTTGCAGCTCCTTGAGTAGGTTGACGACGGCGGGCTTCTGGCTCTCGACCAGCCCCTGTCTGCTGCCGCTGTAGGCCATGTGGCCGTTCTCCGTCAAGACCAGCACAAAGTCACTGCCTTCGGTGTACTGGAACTGCACACACACGCCAGCACAGCAGAGCGACAAGAGAGTGTGGTCAAAGGTGAGCAACGTTCCTGCAGGCTTGTATGCATGGCGGTGTGTCTGACCTGGTTGGTGACGAGCAGCACTGCCTTCGTCTGATCCCTTCTCAGCAGGCCCTGCGGCCCCAGCAAGGCGTCGAACACCGCTGAACCCGTGTGGGCGTCGAGTGCACTGACCAGTCAGACAGACAGCGACAGATGCCCATAATGGACATGGGCGCCGTCTGTCTGCCTCACACATGCAAGAACGCACCTGAATGGATCGTCGAGGAGGAAGACGTCGCGGTCCGAGTTGACGGCACGCGCCAGACTGCAAGCAGTGCACACACACGACGTCGACGTCATGTCATTCGCACACACACACACACACAGAGCACCCGACCCGCGCCCATACCTAATGCGCTGCTTCTGGCCGCCGGACATGGTGATGCCTCTCTCGCCGATCATGGTGCGATCGCCAGCTGGGAGCTGCCTCAGGTCAGAATGCAGCTGACACGCCTCAAGCACCCTCAGATACCGACACTGCACACACACACACACACACACAGAGAGAGAGAGAGGCCAGGCAGGCAGCCAGGAAGGGGGTGCGTCAACCGATCCCCTCTCTCCGTCATAGTGTCAGCGGCTCACCTGGTCCATCTCGCTCCCGAAGAGGATGTTGTCCTTGACGGAGGCGTTGAGGATCCACGCCTGCAGGCAATGTAACACACGACACGCCGCTTTGCTTTCTTCTCTCTCGGTGCGTTGGGTGTCTGCTGCCTTACTGTCTGTGGGACGTAGGTCATCTTGGTCTCCCTCCGGACGCCGTATGACCCGCCCGTCAGCGGCACGTCTCCTAGGAGAGCCTGCAGCAACGACGACTTGCCACTACCTGTAACATCACACACACATGCGCTGCCTGCCTGATGGTGTGGGTGTGGTGCAGATCTGCACCAGACTCACTCACCGACAGGCCCGACGACGGCCACGAAGCTCCCCCTCATGAGTTTCATCTGCACCTTGCTCAGCGTGCCGTCGCGGTCGAAGTTCTTGCTGCCTCTCCCGATGCCCGCCTTGACCATCCCCTCCTCGCCCCTCCGCTTGCCCCCCTTGCTGTCCGTCGGCTGGGGGGCGCCGCCGCTCACAGACCAGTCGAATGACGCCTGGTTGAAGGCGATGAGGGGCTGCTGGTCGGCGTAGGGGTCGCCGGGCGATGTGGCCATGTCCTTCAGCATCGGCACGGGCCTCCTGTCGGGCCGGTCGAGGAACACCTGGATGCGCCTGAGATGGACAGACAGGCAGACAACAGACAGACAAGGTGCGCTTGTTTGTGTGTATGTATGTATGTGTGTGTGTGAGGGTTTGCAAACTATTCCTCACTTGACAGCGATGAGCACTTGCACGAGTGAGGTGAGGACCGACCCAAGCTGCATGAGGGGGAACCTCAAGACGGAGAAGAAGGCCACAGCCGTGAAGGCGCGGGACGCCGTCAGGTCACCACCTTTCTCCGACACAAGACAAGACAGACACGCGATCAGGTGGTTCCAGGGCTGCTCCTCCTGTGCCTTGTGCCCTACCGATGACGACGAACACGGCGATGCTCGCCGCCACGGCAAACACCGGCAGCACCAGCAGGCAGTACAGAGACGACGCAAACAGGAAGGTAAACCTGCATGGCATCGCATCGATGTCATGTCGATGCATCAGTGACGCAACAAAGACATCCATGCATTGCAATGCATCCCCCCTTTTGTCTGTCTGTCTGGCTGTCCGTCCGTCGGTTTGCTGACCGACCGTTTGATGTAGAAGAGCTCCTTCTCCCTGAGTGTGAGTATCTGTCTGGTGAACTTCTTCTCCCACGACATATACTTGACCACACGTATTCCCGCGAGCACCTCGCTGCAGAGCTTGACCCGCCGGTCCGACACCTCCATCTGCCGCGTGCGGCACCGCTGCATCGCGTCGTTGATCCACCACGATACCGGTGCCATCAGTGCCAATCTGATGTTGTGACAGAGACCAAGGGAGGGAGGGAGAGTGGTGTGGTGTGATGTCTGTGTGTGTGTGTGTGTGTGTGTGTGTGTGCGTGTAGGTTACATGAAGATGCCGACGAGAGCCGCGTAGCCGAGCAGGTCGAATAAGAAATACGTGGCCAGCATTATCTGCGCGGGGGCCGCCCACACCTGGGTGTCACGGTGACACACACACACACACACACACACACATATGAACACACGCATGAGACATGCAGCCATTTTTGGCTAGATGTGTGTAGCCACCCGCCTGGTTGAGCAGAGGGAGGCAGATAAGGAACTGAGTGGTGTCAGTGGAGAGGATGTTGATCACACTCACGGACGCAAAAGCACTGCTCCTTCCCCGCTTGCCGCCGCCACCACCCCGCCCCTGGTCTGCCGTCCTGCTGCTGCCGCTACCGTAACCGCCACCATCAGCAAGAGCCGCCGACGGGGCAACCGTCAAAGCTGCATGCAGGCACACAGCACACAGACAACACACACGGAGGGAGGTGTGTGAGGGCTCTTACGTTTCGCCTAGATTGGTTGGTAGCTGAGCTGCCGACTGACAGACCTTTCCTGAAGACGAGTGCGATGGTGGTCGACCTGAGCCTCTGTCCGACGTGGAATGAGAAGTGCAGCTGCAGCTGGTTGGCGATGCCACCAGTCAGGGTGCAGGCAAACAGGCCGATGGCCAGCCACAAAATGGTCCCGCCACTGTACCGATCCTCCACGGCCCTGCAGCCACGGTCCGTGGCACACACAGACGAGGGAGGGGGAGTGAGGGAAAGGCAGAGTACACTACTGGCCAGTAAAGCGTTGATTAATTATTCTTTTCCTCACTCAATCAGCCACCGGAAGACAATGGGAGTCAGCAACTGGGCGCTCACCCTATTGTCACACCACACACACAGAGAGAGATGTCAGGTCAGCCACCAATCGACGTGTCACGTTAGGGCCGTTCGTCCAGTACCACAGCATCATAAATATCCCGGCGCCCACAAACTCGCTGGCGTTCTGCCGGATGAACGCGGCTCCCACCGACAGCCCTTGCTGCGCACCGCAGATAGTCACACACACACGCACACACACACACAGACACAGGCGGAAAGCACCCATTGTGAGTCGCACAACTGAATCCACGGGCTCAGGCAAGTTTTTTGACCTTCCTCATTTGCAGGAATTCCTCCAGCAGGACGGCCGTCTTATCGCCAGTCGGCATCTCAAGCAAATCTGACACACACGACACACAAGTACACCGACGCCCTGCTGTGCAAGCGACCAGTGTCTTTGCTTCCTGACTTTTTTCTCACCATCGGCGCTCAGTTTGTTCTTCCTCCCCGCCCTCAGCAGTGGCCCCAGCCACGAGAACAGCGGATCCACGGGCAGCCGCGCAAACACTCTCTCTTTCGACATGATACCAACACCAAAGTCAGATCGCCGTCTGCACGGCACACGGCAGGCACACCATCTGGGGGGAAGACAAAAACCAAAACCGCCCTCTCTCGAGAAAGCTAAGCTCGCAGGCCGTGCGAGCTAAATTGAATTCGCTTCTCCCCCAGTCCCCCTTGAGGGCTTCCGACGCTCCCGGAGCATCGAGAAGGACGGCATCCTCGCCAATCAGAGAAGAAAAACGAGACAGCGAGGATGGCGGGGCGCTGAGGATCCGGTTCGACGCAGCTGGTAGAGTTTCGTTCGTCGAGTTCCGGGAGGCCTCCACACTCATCCGATGGACGCCATCTCCGCTCTCCTACAGAAGCAGGGGCTCAGCGCAGCGGCCCAGGCAATCAAGAGCGGTACGCTGCGACGCACTCATCCGCGTCTTTCATCATTGATTCATGTGGATTGGTGTTGGTGTGTGCATGCCTGTGAGTATCAGGTGGCGGCACGTTGCCTGTAGCAGACGCCAAGTGCCTCATCGGGGAGCTGGAGCGCTATGTGGAGAAGACGGAGGGCCACACGCGCACTGGCGATGGCGATGGCGGTGGACCACCGGTGCGGCTGCCGGCGTCGGTCGAGGGGGCGGGTCTCAGCGTCAACGAGACTGTGGCTTTGGCCATCAAGACCGTCCTTTCACAGGAGGACAGACATTTGTCGCGCGAGCAGCTCGACAACTTCGCTGCCGTGGTGAGAGTCGGCATTGGTTCGTTCTGGGTTGAAATGAGGGGTGTGTGTGTGTGTGTATAGGTGGCCAAGTCGCCAGCGTTTCAAGAGGTCATGACGACAGCAACAGCTGCGGCAAGGGACAACCAGACACGTACAGATCATGTGATCGTGGTAACCACACCATGGGATGGATGGGTAGGAGTGAGTGTCTGGTCTGCGTCAGTCCTCATCCAGGTGTTGTATCTGTGGATGTGTGTGTGCCTCGTCAGACGGCCCCTTTTGACCAGCAGATGGAGCAGTTCGCCGACGCGGCACAAACGGACGATGAGAAGGTCAAGGACTTCCTTACACGGGTGAGTGAGTCAGTTGAGTGTGCCTGCTCACCTCCCGGGCTGCTGTGTCTGTCGGTCAGATGGACAATGCGGCGGCCGCCACGCCGACCACGGCCACCACACTGACTCCCGCGGCGAACCAATCAAGTAAACACAAGCTACAGAGCCCTCTAGGTGGACGCATGTGTGCCGCCACCAATAATCGGTCAGGTCGTGGCTTGATGCGCACGAGTGACGCCAATGATGAGGATGTGACGTACGGACAGACGCACACAGCAAAGCACCACACAGACGGGCCACATGGCATGGCACATTGGTCTGTTGGGCATGCCATGCCGTGTGTGTGCAGGCGTCGTGGTGGTGATCGGCAGAACCCGCCGACCTTCCACGTGAGCGCACTGTCGCCCCTCTCCGACACGGCGCCCACCAGAGGACCGCCGCTATGGGTCAGTGAGTGAAGGCATACAGACACACACACAGACAGGGAGGGAGAAATCAGCGCTGTGTATGATCTCAGCCTCCTGCTGGAAATCGTGGTGGTGAGGGCACCGGTGCCGCTGCTGGGGGCCAGGAAAGCGCCACGTCGGCCTTCTACACGCCCAGGCCGCCTGGTGGGAGAGGGAGGGAAGAGGCATACATCAACAGTCCGTCCGCTTTCGTGTGATGTGAATGTGTGTAACGTGACTGACTGTGTGCAGGTGTGGTTGGTCCGGACGATGAGCAGTTCCCAGAAGAGTTCCTCAACGACGACGTACGCCACACCGCACACACACACGCTTGGCTTGGACCACGCATTGTGTCTGTCTGGACTGCACAGGACCCCGGCTTCGATGTCACCGAGTACGATGAGGACGAGCTGCGGCACGTGGAGGTCTGCAGGAAGCGGCACCCCTACACCCAGACGCCCCCACGCGTCCCACTCATCGGCGTCCCCCCCGCACCTCCACACCAAGACAGCGCATTCAGACACCCCATCCCAACACTCTGCCCAGGGTCAGCCGACGAGGCCGACGCCATGTCCATCACACCGGGGGGCCGCAGCAGCGGGCCGGTCGCACTGAGTGCTCTCGCGGATGACGAGCTCATGTTCTCGTCGGTGGCGCAGTCGCCCAGTGGGCGAGGAGGGAATGATGGTGACAAAGAGGGAGGAGGGAGAGGGTGCAGTGTGTGTCGGAAGGAAGGCACCGTCTGTTGCTGTCTGTGTGGTGTCTGCAGTTGGTATGGCGGCGAGTATGATTGACGACGAGCTGGGGCACAGCTGCTCGGGGCCCACATCAGATGGGGTAAGCTTACAACGCGCCACAACAGACAGACAGATGATACAACAGACAGACAGATGATACAACCCGCTGTTTCCTCAATTCTATGTCACTGGCTGCAGCCGATAGCGAGTCTGCCCCCACCTCCCGTCCCTCTGACGGTCAGCAGCATGGATGACGAGCTCGGCATGGCGCGCAACGAGACCGACGCCGTGCCGGCATTCGGGGGCGACGACTCGAGGGCAGCCGAGTTCGGGCCTGTTGCTGTGGCGGCAGCTGCTGCCGCCGGATCTATGCACGGTCAGCAAAGCAAAGCAGCACGACCCGACACACAATTCATTCATCCACACCCAACCAACATCCATCCATCCATCCATGCTTCCATTCGTCGCCTGCAGACCGTTCCGACCGCTCGACGCACAGCACGTCGCCCACGTTCGGCGCGTCGGGTGCGGAGGCGCCCCGTCCACCGCCAGTGGCCCACCCCCACCCCCAGCCATCAGCCGGCGACCTGGGACCTTTGTCGCCCCCGAGCGGGCAGGAGCTCGACGGCTACCCGGCGGATATGGACGACTCGGGAGGAGAGGTGCGGGGGGAGGGGGGGCTGCCATCCGGGGCCACATCCGGTGTGTGAGGAGTGCAGTGAGCACACTGGAAATGTGAAGCAAGCTGGGAAGATGATATGGATGCATGTGTGAATCCGTGTGCTGTGTGTGACGTGTGCAGTGGTCATGTTGGATCCCTCTGGCGACACGGTCTACTTCGGCCCGGCCACGGAGGACTTCGCACAGCAGCAGGAACAAGCGAGACGAGACGTACGTGAGTGAGCTGTAACCTCGCCACGCACTCCACTCAGACACCCGCACTCATAGATGGCCGTGTTTCCTCTCCCTCTCCCTCTCTCCTCTCCCTCTGTCAGGCTGACATATGGGCGGCCGAGTACTCGAACGGTTCGTACACGACCAACCGCCAGAAGCGTCGTGAGGACAAGTACCGTCAGCTGGGCAAGGGCGAGGATGACGCCACCCGATCGGGGCCGCGATTCCCGCCCTCGCAGGACCCCTTCTACCCATGTGACGACAAGGAAGGCGTCACGTACGACTCATTCCCGCTCAGGTGCGTCATCTCATGACGCCTGCTGAGGGTGGGAGGACTGGTCTGGTTTGCCGCGCATCGTGTTGTTTGTTCTTGGGTCTGTCTGTTGTGTGTGTAGGGTGGTGTATGATCGCTATCGCACTGGTTTCGAGGAGCAGAAGGAGTTCCCCGTCACAGAGCACATGGAGATCGCCGGAAGATACCACGTGAGTGACCATGACGCACGGACGAATCGACCCGTCACAGATGGATGGATGGCTGTGGCCCTCTCTCTCTCTCTCTCTCTGTGTGTGTGTGTGTGTGTGTGTGAATGGATTAGGTTCATCGATACATCGGCAGTGCAGCCTTCTCGAAAGCGCTCGCCGCATTGGACAAGGCCACCAACAGCTGGGTACGTGGCAACGAGTGAGAGGGCTCTTGTGTGAGTGCTGCTGTCCGTGTGAGCGTGGGCTGTGTCTGTCGTGTAGGTGTGTCTGAAGGTGATCAAGCCCGAGAAGGACTTCATCGACCAGAGTTTGGACGAGATCAAGCTGCTGCGGTACATCAACTGCAACGGCAACGTCGACAACCACCACTGCCTCAAGCTCGTCGACTACTTCTACCACAGGGAACACCTTATCATCGTCACCGAACTGCTCAAGTGAGCACACAGCACACCAGCGGCACCCAACACAGACACACGACGGTCTGGATCAACGTGTGCATGGGGTGTGTGTCAGGATGAATCTGTACGAGTTCCAGAAGACCAATCGCGAGAATCAGGAGGTCGACGGCGACGCCCCCTACTTCACCATGGGGCGCATACAACTGGTCAGACACGCAGAAACAGACAGACAAGGCCACAGCACCGACGCGTGTGTGCATGTGTGTCTGTGTGTGTGGCTGCATTGCATTGCAGATCACGAAGCAGGTGTTGGAGGCGTTGGCGTTCACCCATCGGCTGTGTCTGGTCCACTGCGACCTGAAACCCGAGAACATTCTCTTCAAATCATACGGACGCGTCAAGGTGGGCAGGTCACGTCACGGAGGCACGACCCCATAGACACACTGTCTGCCCCCTCCTGTCTGTCAGGTCAAGGTGATTGACTTCGGTTCATCGTGCTTCATCGACGATGTGCTTTCGCACTATGTGCAGTCGAGGTGGGTGAGGAAACAAACACTAAAGGAACGTGGGAGGGACCTTCATTGCTGCCGTTGTGGATGGTCGTCTTCGTAGGTCTTATCGCGCGCCAGAGGTGCTGCTGGGTCTGCCGTACGACAGCAAGATCGACATATGGAGCCTCGGATGCATCGTCGCCGAGCTGTGGATGGGGTCAGTACGCAGCGCCACCACCACCACCCCCACCCCCACCCCCACCCCCAAGCACCCACACCAACTGTCCCTCTCTGTCTCTCTCTGCCTGCAGCACTGTCTTATTCCAAAACGACTGCCTGACGTCGATGCTCTCCCGCATCGCATCGATAGTGGGGCCCATCCCATGGTACCTCTTCGCCAAGGGCAAGCAGGTCCGCATGTACTTCACCAGCGACGGCTCACTCGCGCGCAAGGTGGACACCCCACACAGCATGGTGGGCGGCATGACGGCGTCGGGGGCCACCATGGCGCCGCACATCGCCGCACAGATGGACATGCACAGCTCGGGGGCTCACGGAGGGTGAGCGAGGCGTGAAGAGCGGGAGGGCGGGAAATGTGGGTGGGTGTGTAGATTAGATCTGTTCCGGTGTGTGTGGTCAGCCGTCGGTACGTGATGTATTTGCCGAAGAAGTCGTCTTTGCGGTCTCGCATGCGGTGCGACGATGACTTGTTCGTCGACTTCGTCTCGCAGTGCCTCCAGATAGACCCCGTCAAAAGGTACCGCAACACCCACACACAGACAAGACACACCAGTCGTAGCCCTCTCCAATCAATGCACGTGTGATGTGTGGATGGATGGGTGGGTGGACATTCAGGTTGACGGCTGCGGCGGCGTTGCAGCACCCCTTCATCACGCAAGCCAAGTACCCCGATGGCCTCTGATACACTCACACATGCGATCAATCCACACACCGAGCGACAAGACCTTCAATTGAAGTGGCGACTGACTGTACGGGCCGGGCCTGCCTTTTGTAAATATCTTTCCACGTACCAACCAGCTGCGGCAGTGCAGTACCTTAGTAGCTCGCCACCTACCTCGCTGGCGGCATCCATCAGTGCGGTGGATCTGATTTGGTTGGCGGGCTAAGCTTAGGTGGGTGGGGCGTGTAGCAACATCCATCCATGTGTGGCGAGGGCGAGACGAGACGAGGCGCAGCGTAGAGTGAGCGTGAATGCATGCGATGGCGGTTTCCTTCCTTTTTAAGTGAGTGGGAGAGAGCCGGCCTTCTGTCCGTGGGCGCGGGGTCGGGTGTGCCTGACTAGCCATTCTGGTGATACCGATTGAGTGATCCGAGTCTCTGTCTGTCTGTTTCCTTCCTCCTAGTATCCTTTCGTGTCTCAATATCTGATATTGATGGTTTTGTCTGAGTGTCTGAGTGAGTGCCTTTGGTTATCAGTCAGCTCCTTAGTTGGCTTGCTTCCTTAATGACCGACCCTTTTTGCCGTTTTGGCCCCCTCTCCCCCCTCCCCCCTCTCTACCCTCCGTCTGTCTCCCGTCCTTGCTTCTTCCTTCTTGCTATGAGTACTCATGCATGTGTTGTGCTGTTCTGCCACATTGGACATCAACTCACTGCAGAAGAGGTACACTATACACACGCAGATAGATATGATCACCGTGCAAATATGCAGATAGATCAGGTGGATGATGCAGCGACACGCACGTACCACCAGGATACGATGCATGTCATACGTGCGCCTATCGACACACAGAGTAATCTAAGCTTGATCAATCAAACAATTGCCAAACCAAAAAGTACACGTACTTGCAGTGCAAAAATTACTCAGAGGCTACACTCAGTAAAGCCACACGACGCCATGTATGTGGGAGGCGCCCTCCCTCCTCCCGTCTCGCTCTTCCTCGCCCCCACACACGACGCAGCAGCTCAGAAGAAGACAGCGCTCAGACACGTATGTCATGCAGAAAGAAGACAGCGTTCAGAAGGCAGATATGTCCACTCACTCACTCGTCTACTTGCAGCCGAGAGACAAGAAGAACTCCTCGCAGGCTTCCATTTCAAGGTCGACATACATATCCTCAGCTGGCTCCTCGATAATCCCTTCCTCCTCCTCACTCTCTTCTTCTTCTTCCTCTTCACTGGCCTCGTCTCCCTCGTCCATTGGCGGAGACGGCGCCACTCGCGTTGAGAAGGCGTCGTAGTCATCAAATACACCGGCAGGGGCCTCCTCCTCGTATCGATTTGGCCTGATCACCCTGAAGGTGTAGTTGCAGATCTGGCGTGCAGGCGGCTGTGTGGGCGGGGGCGGCTGCCGATGCTGTTCTTCTACTGGGAAGGGGTACGTCAGGCGGGGCCTCTGCGCCAGGCCATAGGTCGGATCCAGAGGGCCGATCTCGTGGAGATGGTCGATGATAGGCTCTGTTTGTCCTTTTGCAGGTCGTTTGGCCAGCCTCATGTCGGCACTGCAAAAGAAGAAAACAACGCGCAAAAAAGAGAGATTAGGGGCCTGGCTCAGCGAGTGGATGACGTGCTACCTGAGTGAAGCGCCGAACGCTCCGACAAAGATCATCTTGTGAGGGGCAACCTGCTTCTTGATGTGCTACAGGGTGGGCTTGAAGTCCGCATCACCGCTGAACAGTATCACGCCATGCACATCAGGCTCGACGGCCGCCTGCGTCAGGAACGAGGCGATCAGCGGGTCGGCTCCCTTCTGCACGAGGTGGCACAGATTCGCCTTACAGCCGTAGCACTTGACTCTCTTCGGCTTGAGGCCAATCTGCTTGACTTCGAGGTTGAAGTGTGCCCTCTGGCTTGACAAGTCCCAATGAAGCCATGCCAGCTTGTTCCTATCGTTTTCCGCTCGCTGAAGCTGACGCTCGAGTGCGGCGCCGGTATAGCGGCTGGGGAGGGACCACGCCGTGTCGTCCAGATGTCTCTTGGGATCCACATTGACGAAGATGATGTGGCCGTCCACCAGCTGAATCGGGTGATCGGTCTTGGCTGCGAAGTCGGTGATCATGCCGAGGACGAGGCCTTCGAACTCTGAATGGTGAGGATTGACCTTCCTTGTCTGCCGCTGCTTCTTCTCATACTTGTACCAGCCCTGGATAAAGTTGGCGCCGTCCACGATGAGCGCACAGCGAAGTACACGCTGAGGAAACAGAAGCGCACACACGCATATTCAGCCTCACAGCGCACTAGCGCCACTGCCATGGCCTTACTTGCTGTGACGAGCGGTGTGCTGAGGACCTGGCCATCGTCAAAACGACCTGAAGGAGAAAAGATTGTGTACGCGGTGTTTCAAAGGCTCCCGGAGAGGTGCAAAGGCTCCCGGCTCAAAGTTCTCCGGAGAGGCATGGGCTCAGTAGACCGCAAGTTGTATGCATGCGATCGGTCGAACGCCGCTTGGCCGGGAAACTGGAGCTGGCCGGCGATTTTCTGGCCGAAACGAAGCCGAACGTTTGCTTACCTCATCAGCCCACGATAACAAGCTGATTCCTTAGGAATGCATTCAGAAGCTACACCGCTATCCCACGAACCATTGAATTGACCATCATCATGGCGGACGATGCAGCGGGCCACATCGGATTCCACCCTCCTCAGCACGACGGATCATCACCAGCCCCCATCCCCAATATCCACACGACGTATCACGCCCTCAAAGCTGGGGAGGCCCGGTGGGCACCGAGAGTGGTCAGCGGGGTCCTCTGGTGGCTTTCTCTCGGTGCCGTCACGTCCATTGTCCTGCTATCCTTGGTGAGAGGAGTACCATTCACGAAAGAAGACCCCGCGCCACTACAATAATGCATTCCTTCGTGCAGGGACTTGAATCATACGCCGCCCTGCCGGTGTGTGTCGGCTTCCTGCCGTTGCTCATTCTCTCCTTCGTGTTGGTGCTGCGGTGGCTGGGGCTGGTGCTGAGCCGCCCCGAGTCTGTGCGTCACGCCGTGGAGGTGTCGCGGGTTCTGCTCGTGACCTGGAAGGAGGTGGCGGGCCTGCAGCTGTACCTGATGCTGGTCCTGCCGACGTTAATTATGCTACTACTGAGGGCCTTTGGCATTCTACTGACGCCTGCCGGTGAGCGCAGCGTGCGCATGGGATGGGCAGACGTTGGTGTGTCTGTGGCGTCATGGATGTTCTGTCCTTTGTTTGCGCAGTGGGGGTCCTTTCGCCATTGGTATTGCTGGGGGTGTGTCATTTGATAGCATGCGCCTGTCTGAAGGAGCCCGACGTCAATCCCACCGTGTCGGCGTGCGCAGGAGTACGTATGCAATACACACACCCACACGACGGCACAATCCCACATCATGAATGATTCGATCTGTGTACATGTTCCCTTTCCTTGGTGCCCTCTCCCTGTGCAGTTGTATCTGGTCGCACAGGTCTGTGTACTGATATTGCGGCTTGACGGCCACTACACGGCCCCCTGGACGGCTGTGCTGGTGCCGACCTTCCTTCTCTTCGGCGTGGTGTTTGTGCTGGCCGTCAAGAGCCGGCTCTTTCTCATAGTCCGCCTGCGGCTGCTGCAGTCACAATCGGCCCGTACGCCCCTCCTGGCGCCCAGACGCATCCAGGCCATTGACGAGTCGCGGATGCTGTCGCTGGCCGAGGAGTACCATAGGGTGCTGCTGATGTGCAGAATGGCCACCACTGCCATCGTCGCCATGCCGTGCTTGCTAATGGCAACGCTGATAGCCTCGCTGACGGTGGATGGCCTCATCCGGGAGACACCTGACCTGTGGGCGGTGGATGGGGTGTTTGTGGTGGTGTGGCTGGCGGTGTCTTGGAAGGTGATTGCGTATTGGAGCTTCACGTGTTCGCCGCTTATTCACAGCATGTGGGCACAGGACAAATGGATCTGGTGAGCGATGCATGTCTGCTGTGCAGCTCAGCTGTGGGTAAAGTAAGTAGATGGGAGACCTTCAAAACCCATGACGGGACGGTGTGCGTCTGTGTGCGTCTCCGTCTCGTGCCTGTTTGGCGTTCTATCCGTCGATTCGATGGGCGTGGGTGGGTGCATGGAGTAGATGGGAGACCGACCTCATGTGTGTCTGTGTGTTTCTGTGTGTGTGTGTACAGTTTGCATAACGATGATGTGATAGATCGTTGGATACGCGCGGAACATCGCCACAGACTCGTCCAGCAGTACCTCCGTCCATGTGTCTGCTTGTGGACAAAATGCACCGAAGGCTCAGGCACACATCCTCGTGCAACACACACACATCCCCGGCCGCCCATGCCATGAATGCGTGAATGCACTCACTCACTGCTCTCAGACAAACCGCGGACACACCCACCCAGCACGCACGCTCGGACCCC